CCCGCCCCCGCCCCTCGCCCCGCGCGGGAGTGGGATCCCCTCCGGGACGTGCAGTGACGCCCGGGAGGTGCAGCTTCCACTCCTCCCGCAGCCCTCTGCTCTCCTCCCCGAGAAGGAACTCACTGTTCGCCCTGCACCCCCAGCAGGCCCAGGTGTCCGGGAAGAAAGAGCCCCCACTCCTTTGGACCCCAACAACCCTGAGTCCTAAACTCTCAAACCACTAAAATCACAAACAAAACAAAAAAACCCGGAAGTTGTCCTCGCTTCCGGGCCGGAGGTTCCGCAGCCTCTCTAGGAAGCGGTGGCAGCCAGCTCTCGTTGACCTTAACCCTTAGGGCTCCGGGCCGAAAGGAGCGAGCTGGTGTGTTTCCTTTCACTGCGCGGCGTTCGCCTTCTGCGATTCTCAGTCCTCACACCTGCCAGGCGCCTTGTAATAGGGGCCTGATGAGAGCTTATACTTTTCCTTGACATCAGGGCATCATCAGGTTTATCATCATTAGAATCAAATTAAATTGAGCGTTTAAGCATCTATTGTTTCTGTTCTCACCGCTGCGGATGCGGATAGAGGTATATTTAGCTACCTGTGAAAGAGCTGGAGAGCTAAGACATCTATCCACACATAAAACAAGCCATTGACAGGCACCGTTATTCCTAACATTCGGAGATACAGTTAATCTCTCCTCGTTTGTTACAGAGAAAACAGAAGCCAGTCTCTTCACAGCAAACACGCAGACCTGCTGAAGTCGGCGCGCGGCCCTTCCTCCCTCCTGCACCGGCGGACAGGGCCTGCACCTCTCAGACCTGCCCTGGCCTGCTCCTCGCCTTCCTTCCCACCTAGGAACCAATCCTTAGGCTATCAAGAACCTCTCAGTTCTTCCAGTTCCATCCCAAAATAGTCCCCCAGCTTTCATTTTTTTCTCACAATGTTTCTGTTTTATCATTTCCCACTCACCCTTTAACCCATTTCTCCTGCAGCGAAAACCATAAAATCACTAAGAATTACCTCCATGTGTCAGTGTGATTGCCATTTTTCAGCTCTGTTCCTTTTTTCGTTTCTGACACTGCTGAGGACTCCTTCTAGAAACACCCTTGCGGTGACCACAACCTCTGGGCAGTCCCCTTGGTCTGCACTAATCGTTTAGGCTCCTCAAGGCCACCGAGACCCTCCCTACTCTCAACTCCAAATGTTCCCTGTCTAGGCAATCTCATTCACTCCTGAATTTTTTAATATCACCTATACAGACAACTCACAAATGTCTGTCTCCAGCCTGGGCTACATTTCTGAGCTCTGCGCTCTTACACCAATGGTCTGCTTGATATCTCATATTATAGGTCCCAATAACATCTCAAGACCAAAATGTGAAAAATCTAAATATTTTCCCTTTGTTGTCTCATATATGCATAAAAACAAAATTAAATAAGCCTGTTTGTCTTCCAATATTCTCTCTCTCAACCTTCTCTCTGGTGATACAGAAGCCCAGAAGTCCTTTTTGTCACCTCCCTTTCCCTTACCTTTACCTTAAATGTCTGGTGTTTGTTAAGACTCAGAATTCCAGTTTAACTCTAAGGGAGGGCAAGAATATGAGTAGATTTGAACTTTCCTCCAACCCTTGTCAGTGGGGTGCATCAAGCCAAACCAAGACAAACTTATTTTGATCTGGGAAAGTAGAGAAATATGACATTTCTTGTAGATGAATGGCAGGATTTGTAGCACAGTGTATCCCAAGACGGTCACCACAGTGTCTCCCATGCTACATGTTTTTCTTCCGATGTGATATTGACACTTGTTCTATAAAATGCCAGATAGTAAACGTTTTTTTATTCTGAGACATATCATACTGCTGTAACTATTCACCTCTGCCATAATTGCCTAAAGCAGCTAACTGCAAAATTAGCAAATAGACATGGGTGTGTTCCAATAAAAATTCATTTAAAAGAATTGGGCAACCTACCCATTAGCAGTATTTTGCTGATCCCTGTTCTACCTAAGGAGATCAAGGTAGAATATTAAATGTGCCATCTGGTTTCTTCTCATTGCTTTTGATAAAATGCAAGAAAAGGGAGATAAAAAAAACACACCAACCCTTGGAGATATAGGAGCTAGAATCCACTGCATTTGAAAAAACTTTCTTGCTCATCCCAGCCTCTCCAGATGGTAAACAATGTTAAAATTTAAAAATGGCTCCTGGGACCCCGGCTGGGCGTGGCTCAGTGGTTGAGTGTCAACATAGGATCCAGGCGATCGGAGTTCGATTCTCGGTCAGGGCACATGCCCGGGTTGCGGGCTCAATCAATGACTCTCTCATCATTGATGTTTCTATCTCTCTCTCTCCCTCTCCTTTCCTCTCTCTGAAATCAATAAAGATATATTAAAAATAAAAATTAAAATGGCTTCTGGGAAAAATCCAGTATCAGGCTCAAAAAAACATGTTCTAAATACAGGTCAGCAAATTACAAAAGGCCTTTTACACATCTTACCTGTGTGTCTTGAGGAACTTCTCTGCTAAACAATGGGATACCAAAGAGTCTTAAGGGTCTTGGCCCACAGCAACCACACAAAGGAGCCATAGCAGAAAAGGGCTGATCTCATGAAGATTTGTAGGTGTAGTTTTTGTCTAATAGAGTGAATTTTATATCAACACACCAAAAGCCTCAGGATTTCTGAAAGTATTATATCAGCTGGACCTGAAGAACACAGAGACAGCACAATATGATAAGAGGTCTTTAACTCCCACAAATTTTACTGGCAGGAAGGAGGCTGTGAAAACTACTCAGCCACAAACATGGGTTACTGTTGAAGGAAACCAGATGACGTCACTCCAAATACGCCCTGTTAACATAAAAAGTATTGTGAGCTGAGGGTAACTAAGAAGCAACAAATGGCCTGGCCAGCGTGGCTCAGCAGTTGACCATTGACCTTTGATCCAGAAGATCTCCGTTCGATTCTCAATCAGGGCACATGCCCAGGTTTCGGGCTTGATCTTCAGTAGGGGTGGTGCAGGAGACAGCTGATCAATGACTCTCTCATAATTGACTTGTCCACTCTCTCTCTCTCCCTCTCCCTTTCTCTAGCTGAAATCAATAGACATATTTTTTAAAAAAGCAGCAACAAATGCAGGGAAAGCTCTGCTCTCTCTACCTTCCCGTTTTTCTGTGTAAAGGCAGGATATAATTTCTCCTTCACTGGAGATGACCCTACGCTCTTATCAGCACCAGAGGAATCTGCAAACAAAATGTTACGCCATGAGTTTCCCCCCATACATTTACCTTCCCATAGTTTGCCTCCCTTGGAAGCCAAAACCTACTTTACTTTGTCTCATAATTTCTCCA